TAGTCAGTTCAGTCTAAGGAAACACTGATCTGCAGGGAAGAGGGGTGGGACAGCAGGGCGCTGTCCAAGGTCCTGAAGCATTGTTTTAACCTTGGTGGTTTGGTTTTCCTCTCTTTGGACCTCTTTAGCAGTCTAACGAACTATATCAGGACTATCTGGAACAATGTGATAGCCATAGTATGGAAGTATGTCTTTATTTGTCATTTATTTATTTGTTGGTGGCTGGAGATATAGCCATAGGTGTTGGAAACCGAACTTTTGTATTTTTGGTTGTGAGCCTAGCCTTTGATGGCTGAGCCATCTCTCCAGCCTGAGTTCTTGGGAGGTGGACATAAGGGGACCTGGAATTCTGGCTCATCTTTGGCTACGTAGCCTGGACCACATAAAACCCTGCCTCAAAACAAACATACAAACAAGCAAGAAAACAAAACCTTTACTTTGTGTTGCCTTTCCTAACCACAGAAGATGAAGCCACTTATTCAGTAAGGATGATCATTTCCAGCTTTCCTTCAGTCTCTTCCCCCTCTGTCTACCCATCAGTCTGTCTGCCTGTCTCTCCCTCCCTCTGCCTCACTGATGACATATTGCCTATGTCATCTTGCCCATTGATTTACAAAGAGAAGATGACACGGAGACACTAGAGTGATGCACAGAATGGGGGCACATGTGATAGGGAACTGGAGGTGAAGATGGGAGAGTTGCCCACAGGGGTAAGGATGGAGGGCACATTATCAGGATGCTTGTTTGAAGGGATATGGAAGGGATGCGGGTTTGGGAAAGGCAGTCTGTGAAGCCTCTAACTTTATTCTGCTGACTTTTGTAGCCACCCTTTGATGGAGAAGATGAGGAGGAGCTGTTTCAAGCCATCATGGAACAAACTGTCACCTATCCTAAGTCACTTTCTCGGGAAGCTGTGGCCATCTGCAAGGGGGTAAGAGCCCTAACTCCCAGCTTTTTCAGACTCACAACTCAGTGAGTGTGGCTATCTCTTTTAGAAAAAGACTTCCGTCACTCAAGCTGGTTGAACAGTATTTTGCTACCATGCTGTCATCCCAGACCAAGGGTGGCCTCTGCCTCGTCATCTCTTTTCCCACTCACAGCCCGGCACACAGAAGAGCAAACCCCACCTTTTTAGAGCTGGCTGGGTCAGTTACTCCAATTCCTGGGACTTTTCTTTTTCATGGATCTTGAGTCGTCCAAACTGTCAACCCCTTTCTTCTTCCTCAGTTGATGCAGAAGGAAATGCCTGGCACATAGGAGATGTTCTATTTCTAGCTCTCCCCAGATCCTCTCTCCCTCTCCTCCTCCTTCTTTGAAATTTTTTTCTATGTCTCTCTCTCCCTCTGGCTCTTATACCACCACACTTGATTTTTGGTTGTTGTTGTTTTGCTGTTGTTTGTTTTTGTTTTTTAAGACAGGATTTCTCTGTGTAGCCCTGGCTGTCCTGGAGCTCACTCTGTAAACAGGCTGGCCTTGAACTCAGAGATCCGCCTTCCTCTGCCTCCCGAGTGCTGAGGTTAAAGGTGTGAGCCACCACTGCCTGGCACCACACTGGATCATTAAAAGCATTTTATTTATTTATTTATTTATTTATTTATTTATTTATTTATTTATTTATTTATTTATTTATTTAGAGACAGGGTTTCTCTATGTAACGTTAGCTGTCCTGGGACTCTCGTTGTAGACCAAGCTGGCTTCTAATTCACCGAGTCCTGGGATTAAAGGCTTGCGTCACCGTGCCTGGTTTAAAAGCATTTTAAATTGCATTTTTATCTATTGAGTTTTGAAGGCACATATACGCGCTCAGAGAACAACTTTAAGTAGTAATCTCTCCCCTTCCAACATGAGGGTCCTAGGTATCGAACTCAGGTCACTTATCAGGCATGGGCAAGTGACTTTATTCACTGAACTACCTGACAGGCCCTCTCTGTGTGCTTTCCACAGTTTCTGACCAAGCACCCAGGAAAGCGCCTAGGCTCAGGGCCAGATGGGGAACCCACCATCCGGGCACACGGCTTTTTCCGTTGGATCGACTGGGAGAGGCTGGAGAGACTGGAAATTGCGCCTCCTTTCAGACCACGTCCGGTCAGTTCCATCCCTGGGGATTGGGTATCCCGAGCTTCAGTTCCTGTATGTGGAGGCTGGGGAACCCTTCTGCAAAGATGCTCCTAAAGAGGTGATCTCTAGATGATCAGAGATCACGGGGGTGTGCACAGATTCTGATTGTCAGAGCTTAATTTTCCATCCGCTCGTTTTCCAGTGTGGCCGCAGTGGAGAAAACTTTGACAAGTTCTTCACACGGGCGGCGCCAGCATTGACCCCGCCAGACCGCTTGGTCCTAGCCAGCATCGACCAAGCGGATTTCCAGGGCTTTACCTATGTGAACCCGGACTTCGTGCATCCAGACGCCCGCAGCCCAACAAGTCCGGTGCCCGTGCCTGTCATGTAATCTCACCTGCCGCCGCTAGGTGGCCCCAGCGCTCCCTCCGCCACGCCCGCTGCACCTCGCTCCCCGCCTCCCCCCACCGCCTCTAGTTCGGATACTAGGTCCTGCACCCCACCCAGCCTTCTGGCCTCTTCCCCGCACCCCAACGAGTTCTAGACGCCGTTTCCCAACATTGCTGACATTTTAAACTTCATACAGTCTCTAGAGCCTTTCTGTGCTCTAGGTTCCGTTGTGCTGAGCCCTCTTTCCCCACCCCCAACATCTGGATGCTGTTCCAAGTGTTCCCAGAAACCCCACTTTGTGTGGGGTTCTAGACTTTGTCTCGGTAGTTTTATGCCTTCTCTCCCCCTACATTATCCTGGGTAAAATACTCTCATGAGATTGCCTGCTCCAAACTAAGATTCCAGATCTGCCTGCCCGCATCCTTCAAGCCCCTCCTACCTCCACTTAGTAGTAGAGTTAAGCCGGAGGCTGGGCTCGGTATTCCAGGCCACCTCCCTTCCACGCTCTGGGGATTTCTGGCATGCACGGAGGATTCTTTCCCCGACTTTTCTTAGTCAGCTTTTGTTCTAGACTTGTTCCGGAACCCATCACTGCTCACCTGCCCTGTGCATGGCTCCAGCCTTGGTCGAATCTCACACACACACACACACACACACACACACACACACACACACACACACTTGTCCTCCGCAGTGCCTGCTACTCTCTGGGACTTTCTCCTCCCCACCCCCTTCTTTTATCCTCTCCCACCCAGACACAGCTGCTGGAGAATAAATTTGGGATGCTGATGCTAAAATGTTTGGATGTTTTCTTGTGAAGCTTGGGGAATGAAGGGGTGCGTGGGTGGGCGGGCTGTACATAGAAACAAACAAACAGGGGAGGGTGGAGAGAGGTGGTGGAGAGAGGATTCACAGATCCAAAAAATGAACGAGAAGACACCTTCGGCATAAGAGCGACATACAGACTGCTTTAGAGAAGACCAATGTGCCACGTTGGTCACACGAACACCCCTTGACCATTGGGTCAGCAAGTGATCGACCCTCCACCAAGTAACCACACCTACATGTTCACCCAGAGCCAAGTGCACACACACACACCACACACCACACACCACACACACACACACACACACAGGCATGCACACCAGAATCCAGAGAAGTCCTGGGAAGGCAGATGAAAAGAAAGGACCTCATGTTATAGAAAGCAAGACAACCAGAACCTGGGAGCTTAGAAACTAGGAGAAGGGAGAAGGCAGGCTCTTTCTTCCCTGACCCACTTTCAAGTGTGTGTGTGGAGGGGAGCAAGGAGTGGAAGGGGCCAATCGAAGTAAACTACGTTTCCCAGCAGACATCGCAGAAGACCCTGCCCCCATCCCCACCCCAGGTGCTGGCCTCTGGCCGCCGGGGATGATGGGGAGTGTAGTCTCTGGATGGGGCAAGCCAGCAGAATGGTGTGCCTGTCAGTGTGTTTGGAGGGGACAGAACCTCAAAAAGCTTAGCAGGTTCTTCCGAAGGCCTGGCATCTCTTCCCCGGATTTTCGAGTCTCACCCTAACTGAATGCTGAGGTCACCCTCTTCTCCAGCATCACCTCTCCTGTACTCCTATCGGGTTCCTGGAGTCCCCAGCCCAAGTTTCGACCCTCGGCGGGCGGCCTGCCCCTTTAAGAGTGGCCCCGCTGACATCACGGCGGGGGGGGGGGTCTGGCCCCGCTCCCAGCTCCGCGGCGGCTGCAGGACCCGGCTCTGCTCTGCGCCTGCCCGCCAGCTGCTCTAGGGACCCCGGCCCGGGACGCACCTTCCCGCCTTCTCAAGCTGCCCAGACCCCAGGCTCCGCCTCTTGCCTGGCTACTGCCCCAGTCTTCATCAGGGGACCCCTCACCCCGGCTTGCCTCTGCTGTCTCTCCTCAGAGAGCATCTATCTATCTATCTATCTATCTATCTATCTATCTATCTATCTATCTCCCCCACCCCATCTCCTACAAGCTCAAGGTCCCTGGATTTGTTTCCCTTGGCCCAAGGCCTCTGAGCTCTCCTGCCTGAATTCTGGGCTATCTGACCTCTCCACTTCCAGGGCCTCAGAATCTCTGAGCCTCTGTAGTGGTGGGGGCGGGGACACCTGAAACAGCTCCATCTGTCTCCCCCTTTCTGTCTGTCTCTTCCAGTCTCGGGACTCGTGAGTTCCAGAATCTCTCTCCCCTCTCCTCTCTCTCTCTGTCTTCTCTCTCTCTCTCTCTCTCTCTCTCTCTCTCGCTCTCTCTCTCGCTCTCTGTCTCTCTGCTCCTCTTGGGCTGTGTTTCCATTCTCTCTCCCTCCCTGCCTCCCCCCATCCTGAAGGCTCATCTCATTCCCTCTCTGCATCTTTCTCCCTCCCTCCCCGCCCCTCCCCTCTTCCTCAGTAGCCAATGAGCGGCCGCCGGTCCCTGCTCCCGGCTGCGTCCGCTGAGTGAGGCCGCGGGCGCGGGGGGTGGGGGGTGGGAGGCCGGGAGGGGGCCGGGACGCCGGGCTCGGGGGCGGGGGCGGGGGGCGCGGGCACCGGAGACCCCGGTGGCGGAGGCGGCGGCCGGGGAAAACCGCGGGGCCGGTCATGCGGCTGCGGGGCCCGCGGCCCGGAGCGTCCGCCCAGCCCTGAGAGAGGTAAGCGCGAGGGGAGGGTCCGGCAAGGCAAGGGGGCTCCGAGCTAGACCACTCTTAGCCGGATCTGGGGCTCAGGGAGGTTAGAGGGACTCCAGGAATGGAATCCTGAGGGTTCCAATATTGGATCTGGGGAGGTTTGGGAGCATGGAGGGACATTTGGGCCTGGTGGATCCCGGAGGACCTGGGGTCCGAGGGTCCGGGAATAAGAAAACAAACTTGCGGTGTTTGAGTTCAGAGATAGTCGGCACTGGACGGGGTCTAGTTGGGGTCTTTGAGGAAGGTGGTAAAGGGTGAAGGCGGAGGGCCAGGCCGGTAAGAGCAAGCTGTAAGTCTGGAAAAGGGTCTTTAGAAAAAAGAACAGTTACAGTCTCCAAGGAGATTGGAGAGAGATGGAGTTTTGACTTGGGCTTTGGGGAATGGCACTTAAGTCATTTAAATATCCAGATCGTGGAATCGCTGGGGTAAAGGACCAGGAGATTCCAGGCCTGGTGATGGTGGAGGTGGGGGTGTCCCAGAGGAGGAATGGCTGCAGAATAAAGAGCTCTGAGTGGGTCAGGTAGAAAGACGATAAACTGGACAAGAGAGAGATTAATGTGAGAAGTGAGGGGAGTCCAGTCGGAGAAGCAGACCCGAAGGCTGAGCTCAGCTACCTGGACAGAGACAGTCGGGGCGACTGGGGAGATGATGCTTGTGTGAGCCGAGGACTGGAAGCGGAGCAGGCAGCTGGCGGTCAAGCCCCAGAGCCACTTGGAGGGGGATGGGAGGAAAAGCTCGACAGAGCTTGGACAGAATCTAGATCTTTGGGTCCTCCACGAGGTTGGGGTTGGAAGTGAGGGATTCTGGAGACTGGGAGTGCCAGCATGTCGGTGGTCTCTGATTCAATGGTTCTTATTGGGATGAGGTAGAATCCCAAAGCTCACAGCACTCTGACTGAGGAAAATAGTCTGTCTTAACTGCATGTTTGGGAAGTGTTTGGAGGAGGTGTCTCAAACTTTATAATGAAAAAGACTGTGGGTGGGAGCTGGAGATGGCTTAGTGGTTAAGATACTTCTGGAAGAGCAGCACCTGTCAGGTGATTGGCAATCAGCTCTTAACTCTAGTTCCAGAGGAACCATCTTCACCTCTTGGCCTCTTCAGGCACCTGCATTCTTGCATATGCAGAAACACACACCCCTACATGGATTTTTTTTTTTTTTAAGGGGATGAGTATCTCTGGTCATAGAGGACTCTGGCTGAGGTAGATTCAGGACACCAAGATGAGTGCTGCACACACATTATGGCATTTGTGGCAAGAAGGGGTTTCTTGTGGGGGAAGTGGTAGTGTCAGAATTGTATATAAGTAGGAAGTTGGGGGTTGTTGAGATGGCTCGGATGGGAAACGTCTTTGCTTCTGAGCCTGATGACCTCAGTTAGATCCCTGGGACCTACTTAGTGAGGAGTACCAACTCACCAAAGTTGTGCCCTGACCTCTACAAGAGTGCCATGGAGGCCACACACATGTGCACATACACACACGCACAATAAATGCATACATACATATGAAAAAATTTTGGAACCCTTCAGGACTCCCCCCCCCCCCCTAATTAGAACTTCTGAGCTCCTAATTGGAACTTGAGAGATCTCAGCTATAAACCGAGTGGGTATTTCTTGCTTGGGGAGCAGGACTTAGATATTACTGACTGGGAAGTTCCATGAAAAAATAGGGTCCAGAGTCTGGCAGAATTTGGAGGATGGGGATGGGGAATTCCTGATTGGACAGTCACTTCAGAGTGCTGGTTTCTCATTTGCTGGAGGAGGGATATCGCTTTTACTGGATCCTAATGTCCTGGAACAAATTCCAGCACCCTGGGTTCAGTGGCCTGCCTAGATTTGGCAGAGTAGGGTTAGGTCTGGATCTAAGATTCACCCCCAGCTAGGGAGATGGCTCAGAGGGTAAAAGTAAGGAAGGAATCTGGATTCAGATTCCTAGAACCCACATGAGGATGGTCATGGTAGCATGCATCTGTAATGAAAGCATTTCTATGATGAGAGGGAGGTAGAGACAGGAAAATCCCTAGTTCAAGTTTATATGCTAGCTAGCTTGGCACACACAAGGGCAAAGAAGAGGTCCTATTTCAAACAAGGTGGAAGGTGACTGACACCTGACTTTGTCCTCTGACCAGTACACATGTGTGCCCATACTCATACATATAAACACACAGACAGACAGGCAATTTTCAAAAATAACAACTGAACCTTAAGGTGAAGATAAGCATCTAAAAGTGTCAACTCAGGAGAGGGTCTGGTATGGGGTTAGGGCTCCTTGAGTGTGACCTACTTTGGGGATTATTGGATGTGATTCAGAGACAGTTCTAAAGAAAACATTTCAATATACCAGGTCAGAGCATAAAGTTAAAGCTGGGTAGCATGGGATAGAATTTTCGAATAAATCAAGTTGTCCATAATTCAGAGTCTAAGCCTAGTACCCTAGCTCTGCTTAAAATGTGGTAGGAGATCCTTTGGGATGGATCTAGTAATCACAGCTGGGGATTTGAATCAGAGCAGAGGCAGAATTGAGGTATCAGATTCAAATTTGAGGCTGTTGATTAGGCTAGTTTCTGAGTCAGTGGCTTACCTCAAAAGTTAAGGACTCTGCTAAGGTCTGGCTTCTAAACCTGGGCTTTCAAGCCAAACAGGAAGTTGGATTGGGGGGGGGGTGTCTTTGTCTTGGGCTGAGAATTTGGATTCTTGTCAGAATCCTGAGACTGGGGACCTCACGGTCTAGACATGGCTCTTAAATCAAAAGTCATCTCCAGGTCTGACTAAAGACTATCTCAAGTTGAGGACCTGCGTCCACAAGGACAGAGCACAGTGATGGGTTGGGAAGTCAACAACCGGTGTCTCTATTCAGAGTTCCGGGCTGTGACGGCGGGTTCATTGCACAGAAATCAGACTTGATAGTTTGGTTTTGGAGTTTGTGTCTCTGACCAGAGCTGTCCCAGATGGCTGCACGGGGCTGGGGAAGGACTCTGGCTGCTCTCTACTATCGCTTCTGGTTCCGCAGGCCCCGCAGGGCGCCCCCCGCCGCTCAGGATGAGTCACTGCAGCAGCCGCGCCCTGACCCTGCTGAGCAGCGTGTTCGGTGCCTGCGGCCTGCTCCTTGTGGGCATCGCGGTCAGCACGGACTACTGGCTGTACATGGAGGAGGGGACCGTTTTGCCGCAGAACCAGACCACCGAGGTCAAGATGGCGCTGCATGCCGGCCTCTGGAGAGTCTGCTTCTTTGCAGGTGCCCCCTTCCCTGCCCTCACTCGCCCCAAAGCCGTTATCTAGAGTTGCGTATTTTGGATTCCGAGAACCCAGAAGTTGATTTTATTTCTCCCTTGGAAGTTAAATTTCAGCACAGAACCCTCATGCTTACCCTTTTATTCTCTAGCTATTGAAACTCAGATACTCAAAATTTATGTCTCTGGCCTTCCTCCCCAATCTCAAGAACTCTATTAGAAGTCAGCAGGCTAGTGACAGGGAGACGCCCCGGCCGGTAAGGCGTTTGGCAGCACGTCTGATGGCCTCAGTCTCATTCCCAGACTCACATGGTGGCAGGAGAGAACCGACTCCTGAAGGTTGTCCTCTCACTGCCACGCTTGCACACTCACACCTGTCCCCCTAAAAATAAGTAAATAATTTTAAAGTGACAATTAAAAAAAAGTCGGAATTCTAGGACTAGAGCTATAAGTAGCTCAGTTGGTGGAATGCCTTTTAGCACAAGGGAAGGCCTGGTTCCCCCCCACCCCACGCCCAACTTAACAAATTATGTGGATGGTACATGCCTGTAATCACAGAACGTGGGAGATTAGAGGCAAGAGGATCAAGCTCATCCCAAGCTTGTTCAAAGCCAACCTGACATACGAAAGAGTCTGTCTCAAAAACGAAAAGAAAATAAACAAAAAAGCAAAACCCGTCAACTGTCTAGATTCAGAACTTGCTTCTTAGACAGCTCCAGTGTTTCCCCCTAGTGAGAAAAACTCCTTAACATTCTTGCCTTCTGGCTGAACACTGAGATGTTTCCTTTTAGAAATACCAGCTCTAGCTGCGCCGATGTGGTGCACACCTTTAATCCCAGCACTGGGGAGACAGAAGCAGGTGGAACTCTGTAAGTTCGAGGTTAGCCTGATCTTCAGAGTGAGTTCTAGAACAGCCAGAGAAACCCTGTCTCAAAAAACAAAACAAGAAAAGAAAAAAAAGAAAAGAAAAGAAAAGAGATCCCAGCTGCCTGGACCTTAGGAGCCCAGAAATCTTCCCTCCTCATTTAAAATGCTAAAATCCAGCCCTACCCTCCATCACCAAGACCTTCCAACACTCTTCTACCCCTTACTTATGTATTTATTTATCGATTTTCAGTGCTTGGGACTGAATCCAAAACCTCATACAGGCTGAGCAAGCGCTCTGCCATTGAGCTACATCCTTAGCCCTCTCTTTACATCCTATTTTGAAACAGGGGTCTATTAGATTTGTCTAGGCTGGATTTAATCTCACTATGTAACCTGGCTGCCCTTGAACTTGCAATCCTCTTGCCTCAGGCTCAGCTGGCTCAGCCCCTTTTCTTCAGCCCCAAGAACAGTGCAGATTGTAAATTTTGAGTGAGAATTCCTATCTTCATCCCGGGCCCTGGTCTGCCCCTGACAGTCTCTGTCCAGCCTTGGAGCCTCTCCTCCACCCCGGCTTTCTTATCTTCCTCCCCACCAGGTCGGGAGAAGGGGCGCTGTGTGGCTTCTGAATACTTTCTTGAACCAGAGATCAACTTGGTGACGGAAAACACGGAGAATATTCTGAGTGAGGGGGAGCAGGGCAGGGGCCCAAGGCAACAACAGGGTTTTGGGAGAAAGGGCTGGACTAGGCAGGGAAGAGGTGGGGTTGAAAGCAGGAAGCGCAGTGGGAGAGGGGAGGGCAAATAAAAATCTCTTGGACGGGGCACTATCTGCAGAAGAGGGGCGGGGTCAAATCAAGGGTGAGGCTTGGTTGAGAGCAGAGTCCGCAGAGGATAAGGGGTGGAGTCAGTGGAAGAGGGGAGGAGCTAAAGGGAAGAAAGAAAATGAAGGTAATGGGGAGGTGTCTCACTGGAGACTTGTCCCTCACATCTGCTTCTCCTCGTCCATCTCTGCCAGAGACAGTACGCACAGCTACTCCCTTCCCTATGGTCAGTCTCTTCCTTGTGTTCACCGCCTTCGTCATCAGCAACATCGGCCACATCCGACCTCAGAGGACCATTTTGGCCTTCGTTTCTGGCATCTTTTTCATTTTATCAGGTGAGTCTGAGGAAATGTGGGCTGGGGTGGGGTGAGGAGAGGAGAGACTTCCAGGAGATAGGGAGGACCTTCTTCCACTGAGTGGTTTATTTGATGTGTGGCCGAGGAGTCATGTAGGACCTCTCTGTGAGTAGATACAGCATAGTGCCAGTGCTTTATGTTGCTTAGAGCTGAATTAGGTGCCTCTGTTCTGATACAAGCCCATGAGGTGAGGGCTATTAATAGCCCCATTTTACAGCTATAGAAGCAATGGCTCAGAGGGATGAAGTCATTTGCTCAGGGCCAAAAGAGTGAGGTGTGGAGCTGGGAATCAAACTCACGTAGTTCGCCTCCAGAAGTTGTATTTTTAACCAGCACTGTTATTTTAGTGATTAACAGTTTACAGAGCTCTTTATTTTGGATGCAACATTTTTATTATTTTAATTTTCCCCCAAACAAACAGACAAGAGTTTCATAGTGAGCAATCACGGGCCCATCACTTCCAGTCAGCTTATGATCTGTTACTGGGTTTACATTTTCTTGTATCTATACCTGTTTCTGTTTTCCTTTCCTTTCATCTCATCCCTTCTTCTCCCTTCCCTTCCATTTGTTCCCCTTATCTCACCTTCTCTCCCCTTATTTCTCTTTTTCTCTCTCTCTCTTTCACTCTCTCCTTTGTTCCTTTTCTATTCTTGTAAGAAGGGTCTCAAATAGCTCAGGCTGCCTTCAGATTCACTATGTAGATGAGGATGACCTTAAACTTCTGAGCTTCCTGCCTCTACCTTCTGAGCACTGGAAATACAAGCACATGCCATCATACCCAGTTTACACGGTGCTGGGGTCAAACCCAGAGTCTCATGCACCTAGGCAAGCACCGTACCACTTCAGCTATATCCGAGTCTAAGCTCCTATCTCTATATCTATCTATCTATCTATCTATCTATCTATCTATCTATCTATCTATCTCTTAGTATTATTTTTAAAAAATTTCAAGGTGTATTTTAGGTGTTCTTTGTCTTCAACACTTCACAGTGTATGCCATTAGCTAGAGTGCAGATTTTATCTACAGCTCCTCTGTCTCCTGAGGTGCAAGGCTCTTTATCTTTAGCATGTGTAATCTCACACTGCATCCTCTAAAAACTCTGTGGGGAGTTGACAGCATTCATCTGATAAAGGGAGGGTTCAAACATCTACCTATCCAAGAAACCAGCATGAACTACTTCCAGATGATGCCAGTGTCCAGAGTTCTGAGCAAAGTTCTTTGGGAAGTCTTAACCTTCCAGCTCTGTCAAACCCAATTCAGTCCAGATCAGCTTACTGTAGCTCCAATATACTCCCTCCCATCAAGTAATTCACTGTTACTTAAAGCAGATCAGGCCCTTATAGTTGACGGATATTTGAGAGGGGGCGGTACATAGGTCAATGTACATGTGTCAGTATATGCAGAGCCAGAGCAGAATGTTGGACGTCCTTCAGTCACTCTCTGCCTTGTTGCCTCGATAAAGGGTGTGTTACTGCCTGAAAAGCGCGCCATTCAGTTAGACTGGCTCCAGTGAGGTCTGAAGATCTGTTTGTCTCTGCCTGTACTCTCCAATGCTAGGGTTGCAGACATAGGTAGCCATGTCCTGCTTTGAATGTGGGTGCACTGTTGCCCACTGAGCCGTTTCCTTGGCCTCCGAGCTGATATGTCCCCCTGCAGCTGACACGTGGGTTCATCTTTACAGTGCACTATGGAGTCAGTTGCAGAAGGATGTCCCGGCTCCTCCCCAAGCCTTCTTGCAGCAGAACCTGCCCCAAGCCTTCACCCTAACCTGAGAAGACCTTTCCCAGGGAAAGCAGGGTACAGCCTCAGCACAGACTCAAATCACAGCATTCGAGCCAGACACTGAGCTAAAATAAGACATGTTGGATATCACGATCCGAAAGTGTCAGAGCAGAAAGGGCTCATCATTTCTGAGATGGAAAAATAGTAGCCTAGAGAGAGAAAGTGGGGCAAGAGTGGATCCCATGGGGACTTTTATTCAATCTACCCAGTATGTTGTATATAAAGTCCCACTGTTTGCAGATCACAGGAATGGAACCGGTCGATTCGGCCAGTCAATGGCAGAGCTGAGCTTTGAACCAAGAGTATTCTGATTCTACAGTCCGCCCTGTAAGCACTGATCCAGTAACTGTCTGCCCAAGGTCAAATTGCAGATTACTGATGCCTTTGGGGTGGAAGTCAGACTTCTGGTCTCCAAATGGAAAAGAGTGAAGTCACGTGTGGTATGGTGTGTGGTGTTCCAGTTTGATTTTTGTTGCTGTGATGAAACACCCAAACCAAAGGTGACTTAGAGGAGTAAAAGGCTTATTTGGCTTATAATTTCAGTCCATCGTTTTGGGAAAAAACAAGGTGGGAGCCCAAGTAGCCATTCATATCACAGCCACAGTGAAGAGCAGAGAGAAATGAATGCACTCATGTTGTCTGCTTGTTTCTCAGCTAGCCTCTTCTATTGTTATGTAGCTCAGAGCCCAGCTCATGAATTGGTCCTGCCCACACTCAGGACGGTCTTTCCCACCTCAATTAATATTCAGGATGATCCCTCCAACCCATAGACATTTGGCTAGGATAGCCTGATCTAGATAATTCTTCATTAATACTCCCTTCATCCTGGGTCTAGAGAAAGGGCTGTAGGAGGGTAGGTGTATTTCCTCCTGGTCCCAAAGCTCCTGGAATAATTAATGACTCATGAGACTCAAAATATATTTACAAATGCCTTTACCATATAGCTAGGCTCTTCTCTGACTAGCTCATAACTTAGAATAACCCCTTTATACTAATCTATATTCTGCCATGGGGCTGGTTACCTCTCCTCAAGGACCAAATGTCTGTCCTCCTCACATCTTCCTGGATGAATCTCCCACACCTGGCTCTATCCTAGAATCCGTTCTGCCTGCTGGATGTCCCACCTTTCACTCTACCCTTTCCTTTGGGCATAGGTTTTTGTTTGTTTGTTTGTTTTTTGATTTACAGGAACATATCCATATAATACAAAAGATATTCTCTTTACAGAGGGCTTGGCAGTTAAGAACTCCTAACTTTTCTTTCAGAAGATATGAGTTTGGTTTCAAACACCTACATTGGGTGGCTCACAACCCCTTCTAACTCCAGCTCTCTCTGGCCTCCAGGGGTACCTACCCTCACATGCATATACCTCCATACAAACACTCATAAATAATCATTCAATTTTTTAAAAATCTAAAAATAAAGATTCTCTTCCCAGGTGAAACTAACCAGCATGGGCCCTAGGGAGGATCTTAGACAATCTCTTTCTGTGTAGGCCCAACTGACCTAAAATTTGTGGCTATCCACTTGCATCAGCCTCCCTTGTGCTGGGGTAATAGGCATGTATCATGTCCAGACTGAATCGCTCTCTTGAATTAATTTAATAGATTTTGTTTGTTTGAATGCTTGTTTTGTTTTTTGAGACAGGGTTTCTCTGTGTAGCCTGGCTGTCCTAGAACTCATTCTGTAGACCAAGGTGGCCTAGAACTCACAGAGACCTGCCTTCTTCTGTCTCCTGGGTGCTGATTAAAGGTGTAAGCCACCATTGCCCAGCTCACCCCATAGATTTTGATCTATTCTCCCTATCCCACAGTATTTGCTCGTGTGCCTTCAAGCTTGTAGTTTCAGTAGCTGAGCCACGTGTTGTAAACCTTGAGAGATGTGGTTTCAAATACCCTGCAGCCTGGAGGAGCTTGCTCTAAGATATGAGAGAATAGTTTCCAAGGAAGGAAGTATTACTTTGGCTCATGATTTCAGAGATTTCACTATGTGGGTTGACTGGTTCCATTGATATGGGCCTATGGTGAGGTAGAACATTGTGGAAGCAGAAAATTTTGTGATTTCGGTGGGGGAGATGGCTCAGTTAGTAAAGTACCTGCTTTGTAAGAATGAGGACCTGAATTTGGGTCCATAGCATCATGTTAGAAACAAAAGCAAGCAAACAAATAATCAAAAAACAGTAGGTATGGCAATGCATGCCTGTAACTCTAGCCCTGGGGAGGTAAAAGCAGGTGGTCCCGCAAGCTTATTGGCTTAGCTGAATTATGAGCTTCAGGTTTGCTGAGAGCCTCTGCCTCAAAGAAAAAGGTGGAGAACAACTGGCAAAGACAGCAGACCTCCACACCACACTCCATTCTCTCTTTGTCCTTTAAAAATGTATTTTATTTTAAATATGTATATATGTATATCTGTGTAGAGTATGTGCACATGAGTGCATATACCTGTAGACACTAGAAGAGGGTGTCAAATCCCAGGTGCTTGTTAGCTGTTTGATATGGGCACTGGAAACTGAATTTCATCTGTAAGAGAAATACACACTTATAACTGAGTTATCCATCCCTTGTATGCTTTTACATTTGACCCCTCCCCCATCATAAACAACAACAAGTGCTGAGTTGGACAAAGTTGCTAGGAAGCAGAGACAGTGAGGACAAAGCCTACATTCAAGGACACACCTCAAATGGTCTACTTTTAGGCTAAGTCTCATCTTCTAAAGTTTCTAAAAGATTCCAAAATTACACCTCCAGCTGGGAAATAAATTTTCCACATAGGATCCTGTGGGAATTTACCATTCAAACCATAAAATGTCACAAAAATTTTGTTGTTGTTGTTTTCTTTGTCTATCAGGATATTAAAAATGTAAAACCCAGCCTTAGCTTGCAGACCATGCAAGACAAGACAGAAGAATAGTTGCAGTTGTCCAATCCCTGATCTCAGTGATGGGCATAACATTTTTTGACTATAAGAATAAGTGTTTGGCTTATTCAGATGAATAAACAAGGCCTGTATAGTAGCTCATTGGTGAGAGTGTTTGTCTTAACACACACAAAGTCCTGGCCTGGGTTTAATCTTCTGAATCAATGAACAAAGTGTGGTGGTACACAACTATAACCCTAGCCCTTGGGAGGTGGAAGCAGGAAGATCACAAGTTCAAAACCATTTATAGCTACATAATGAGTTCAAGGCCAGCATGGGC